CTTTACTGTATTTGAATACTTTCCAGTATTCGAATACTTCTTCAAAGGTAATCGAATACTTTTCTTCCCAGAAAAGTATTCCAATACTCCAGCAAGAGTATTCGACTACCTGATGAACAAGTATTCGAATACTACACGAAAAGTATTCGAATACTTCTTCAACAGAATGCAGAAATTCGAGCCAACTTCTGCATAATCCCAAATTTAAGGGTCCAAACGCGATTGGGAGTCCAATGACTCCCTAAACAGATATAACACAACATGTTATGAACCTAGAAACACATTCTTTTACTCAAATGGTTAAAGTTCCTCTTTTTAATAGATTAAACAAGCTTTAGGCCTCAAAATGATACTCAGGTGATCATGGTATACCTTCCAAGCTCCAAAAATCCGAAAATGAGGCACACAAGGGGTCCTCTACACAGCACAAAGGTTCTGACTTCACAAGGCTACGAAAATACACTTCAAACTTGAGCCTTTATGCCAAAAAGGTGGCTTCTTGAAGCTCAAGAAGCCAAGAACAAGGTCACACAACCCCAAACCCAAGAAGACAGCCCCAAAGTCAGCAATTTCACCTCACCACAGAGGCCACAAACTCAGAATGACACACTCCACACCCTCCCAAGGCCAACACTCACAAGCTACAAGTGTTCAAGGTGTAAAGTCTCTCATAAAAATGGTGTCTTGAAGGATTTTTGTAAAGAAAACTCAATGGAATAGTGAAAAGGAAGAGGAGGCAGCAGCCACACACACAACCCATGCATAGAATGGCTGAGTATCAGCCTAGGGTTGTGTGCAAGTGACTATATATAGTCCACTTAACACTAACCACACAGTATTAACATAAATAGCTGCGCTTAGCATTTTAATCCTAAACTTAGGATTCTTAACCTACTCAATTTTACAAGAATTATCATATTTTTCTTATATTTTTCGGAGCACCTTTCCGATACGCGCTTTTCATAGCCAGTACCAGTTTCTGGCACCAGTTCTCATTATTTTAACTTGAAACTCGTTTTACAAGTCCTACATACTATTCTAGTAATATTCATGCACTTATTATAATTTTCCGGGATACTTTTTCGGTACGCATTTATACCGACTAGCAGAACCGATATCTGCACTTTTCGTCAGAAAAGTGACTTTCAGCATTATTACTCACTTACTATAATTATTAGAGCCTCATAATAATTATTAAGGTCAATTATGGAATTATCTCATAATTATCTAATTAATTTCCTTAATCAGCAGTGCGGGTTCTTACATTCACCCCACCTTTTTAGGATTTTGTCCTCAAAATCAGAAAATATACCTGTCCCGAAGCGCGGGATACTGACAGAGAAGCTCATCCTCTTGCTTCCAGAATTACCCTTTAGGAATTCTTCCCGTTCAACGTACTCTGACCTTCGAAATGATCTCGCTCATCAGCTGCTTCTCGCCACGATCGAGAAACTTGAGTGGTCCGACGGGAGTCTTTAAGTTCTCCCGAACCTCCACATCATCCGGTTGCACTACGTGCGAAGGGTCCGCTACATACTTGCGAAGCTGAGACACGTGAAACACGTCGTGAATGTTGGCTAGGTTCGGAGGCAAGGCAAGTCGATAGGCAACAGGTCCTACTCTACCAAGGATCTGGTAGGGCCCTAAGAATCGCGGGCTCAACTTCCTCACTCCGAGCGCCCGTCCAACACCTATGACAGGTGAAAGTCTCACGAACACGTGCTCACCTTCACTGAACTCCAGTGGACGATGCTTAACATCATAGAAACTCTTCTGGCAATTCTCCGTGTCTGGTCTACGTGTTGTAATTCCATGACTTGATACTTGTTTATATTGTGAGGTTATTCAGTGTAGTTATCTATTACAATTTACATACAGACACTTTTTGAAAAAAAATAAGTAAATCCACTTGGTTATATGATAAGGTTCATAATTCAAAAAATTTAGCTTATACATTTATTGAGCTGTGCTATTACCATTTATATGTTTAATACACCGGGTGAACACGGGGTGTTACATGATGCACCATGTATTTTGTATAAGCTTTGTTATTTATTTGAGTAAAGGCTTGTAATCATGGTGTACATAATTTCATGGAGTTTTAATATCACATTTTGTAATCCAAATGTTCAAAGGTCATGTTTATAAGATTTGTGACATTATACTTTAGAGTCTATGTATGGAAATGTATTTAATGTGTATTTGATGGTTTGGAGCTTTAGTTAATGAATTCATGCATGTTTAGCTTTTGAATAACTAGATTTATGTATTTGACATAAGGAATGGCTAATTTGGTGGCCACTTGAGCCTTGGAGGTGTTCCAAGAGCTCATTATGTAGCAAAACATGGTATTTTTAGTTGCTGTCAATGAAATATTCGATTACTTCCAAGGAGTATTTGATTACTTCCCTGGAAGAAACTCAAATTGAGCCACTGTCTTGAAAGTAAAGTAATCGATTACTTGCTGTCGACAATGAAGTATTCATTAAGTTTTTTGGCATATCTTGAGCTAGAGAGCTCCAAATTGAGTGAGACTTGAACCTACATAAAGCTAACTCAAATATCTACAACTCTACAAAATATTAGGACCTTTGGATAAGTGGATTGATCTCAGTTCTGTTTTGAAATTATTGCCCTATTTTTAGAAGTCCGGATTAAAGCAGTTGGCTTGCAACATACGTAACTTGAGATGTACGAATCCAATTGATGCAAATAATATATCATTAGAAAGATTAGAGAGTCTAGTGTAACATATCCTAAAACTAGAAATTTTAGAGCATCCATTAAATCTTAATAATTTCGTGAAGCATGCTAACTCGACTGCAAAAACCAATATAAGATAGCTGCCTTGCTAGTTGCATAAATATTGAACCAAATGACTCGAGTTATACTTTGTTGGAAAGCTTTAGATGTCTAGTTTAATATATTAAAATATTAGAATTAATGATAAAGTAAAATAATACCAATTTAAAAGCAGTAAGGGTTGTTCAGTGCTTAGTTTGACGATAGAGTCTGTTTCTTTTGATTGTTCTTCAATGGAAGGAATTATAGACTCTGTTGTGATATTAACTGATGTTTCAGGGGTATGAGATCCTAGTGAAGTTAGATAAATCTCTTCCCCATATATTTAGAGTCTGAAAATGATTACCTATTACTTAAGGTATAGTAAAGCTTTAATCCTTGGAAATATTGAGTGTTTGAGTGAATGTATGAACTACTTAAAGTGTGTATATATTTAGTAGAGTTAATAACATGTTTAAGAAAGAAAAAGTTAACTCATATTTCCTCGACGAGAATAATTAATTAAGTTACAAATATAAGTAACAAAGTAAGACAATTTCATTATTGATTTCTTAATTATTTTTTGTTGCGCTTAAATACGATAATGGCTAATACACCAGGTATACACGAGGTATTACAATGCTCATTAAAAATAACTTAAAATAATAAAACATTTTTTTTCCTATCAAAACGACAATGTTATTTTAGGATTATAAAAGGTGAATTAAGAAACATTAAATTTTTATTTTATGAAATTATTTTATCATTTTAAATGATACAATTTTGTGTCATTTAAGTGAAATAATTTTATTTCGACATGTATTTATTAGTTTTTTTTTTACTATACTTTTTTTTTCTCTCATAATTCTGTGGAGGAGAAAAATATAAATAAAAATAAATATATACTAAAATTTAAAATAGGGAAAAATTTATCCCTAATAAACAAAAAAAATTTCGAAACAATTTTTTTAAGAATTTTGAGAATCAAATTAACAGAGAAACTAAGGCTTTTTGACCCTTTGTCCCTTATTAATTAATTAATAACCATTTTGTCTTTTATTGAAAATTATCTACCAATCTGCCTCTCTTTAATCGATATTAACTTGAATATTTAATCGATTAAATGGTCAAAACAGACAAAAATAGTTGACTCGAGATTTAATCGATTAAATCTCCCTATTTAATCGATTAAATCTACATCCCAATTTAAGAGTAGCAAAACAAAGACCATTGCAACTGCAGGTAATCCAAAACCCCATCCCCAACATGCATACGACATGATAACATCAATAATCCAAAGGAGAGCGTGCTTGGACAACAAAATTTCAAAGTTGTTTTTATTTTCAATTATTCATCTTCGTCCTTCAAGTTTCAGGGGGTTATGTTTCTCTCCCCGAGGAAATCCAACAAATTGTTGATATACCTTTCTTGTTTTTCTTTTTTGACAAACAAGTCCTTTATCTATTTAATTTTCCCCTGTAGATCCTTCCCTCTTCCTCAACCATAACAAGCCTCACTGAGTCAGCGACCGAGTCACTCGTGAACGATCCATCTCGCTTGTCCCTTGGCCTTGGCACTGAGTACCCCATCTTCTTCTCCTCCTCCAATACCCTCGCGTTTATTCTCAGTGTTAGTATGGATACAGATGAATGTGGGTTGAGGATGGGGTTATGGAGTACCCGCAGTTGCAATGGTCTTTGCTTTGTTACTCTTAAATCTTGGGAGGGAGATTTAATCGATTAAATAGAGAGATTTAATCGATTAAATCTTGAGTCAACCATTTTTTTCTGTTTTGACCATTTAATCGATTAAATATTCAAGTTAATCGATTAAAGAAGGATAAATTGATAGATAATTTTTAATAAGGGACAAAATTGTTATTAATTAATTAATAAGGGACAAAAGAGTCAAAAACCCGAGAAACTAACATTTTTTTTTTGGAATAACATCTGTCATTTTAAAGGATATAAATTTATATCCTTTTAAATCCTAACCGTTGATTTCAGTCCATCAACGGTTATAATTTATTGGAATAAAATTATTAATTAATTAATAATAAATTTAGCCCATTAAATTTGACCCAATAGATTATAACCATTGATAAGATATAAACTTATATCCTGAGAGATGTTTTTTCCTTTTTTTTTTTACATTAAATTATTAATTTACTTAAAAAAATGAGGTCTTACTATGAGGCTATAGCATTATAACACCAAACATTTTAACGGATAAGATAGAAGATTGAGCAGAGAAGAGTACTCGCTCACTCTTCACACCAAGCTTCAGTGAGGTAAGTGAAAATGGCAACACTCTTCACACAAACACCAACAACAGCCTCACTCTCATTCATCTCTTCCTCTATCTTCCTCTCTCAATCTTCAACCATTCAAACACACAAATTCAAATTCCCCATTTTGCCCCTAAACAACTCCCCAAAGTCCCTTTCCGTCACTTGCAAACTCGCCTCTGTCCCTGTCTTCTCCTTCTCCGGCGAAAGAATCGGCGAGTCCACACTCGACCTCAAGGCAGCTCCGCCGGCAACCGCACGCGCCGTCGTCCACCGCGCCGTTGTCACCGACCTCCAGAACAAGCGCCGCGGCACCGCCTCCACACTCACCCGCGGCGAGGTTCGCGGCGGCGGAAGGAAACCCTATCCGCAGAAGAAGACCGGCCGCGCTCGCCGAGGATCCAACCGGACACCTCTCCGGCGCGGCGGAGGCGTGATTTTCGGACCTAAGCCACGGGATTGGAGCATCAAGATTAACCGGAAGGAGAAGAGGCTCGCGATCTCGACGGCGATGGCGAGCGCCGCCGTGAACACCATCGTGGTGGAGGATTTCGGCACGGAGTTTGAGGATAAGCCGAGGACGAAGGATTTCATTGCGGCGATGAAGAGGTGGGGGCTTGATCCGAAGGAAAAGGCTATGTTCTTGATGACTGAGGTTCCGAAGAACGTGTTGCTTTCGAGTAGGAACATTGGGACGTTGAAGATGTTGACGCCAAGAACGTTGAATTTGTATGATATATTGAATGCTGATAAGCTTGTGCTTACTCCTGCTGCTGTGGATTATTTGAACGAGAGGTATGGGATTAATTACCAAAGTGATGATGATGATGATGATGTAGAAGAAGAAGAAGGAGAAGAAGAAGATGAAAATGTAATGGATGGTGATGATGATGAAGGTAAATGATTAGTGTTATAAATTATAATAATGATGGTGAAGTTGCTATTAGCTTGAATTGTTATGTTTTTGTTGATTGCAATTCCGTAGTTTGTTTCCCATTATAGGGATGTTTGGGGAATTCGATGGATTGTGCTTCTGTTTTGAGAAGCATTTGATAAACCAATTATTGTTCTGCAAATAGTATAGTAGATGCATATCATGTTAATTATTATGTTGCTATTGGAAACTGAAATATGTCTCTGCAGCATATAATATGGCTCACTATTGTTTTTCATCTAGTTTCTGTGCATCATACAGTCCTGTCATCAATTGGCTTTAGCTTGAACTGGACAGTGTATGCCAATATAGATGCTACACTAGAGACAGGACATTCCTGTCATCAATTGGTTTTAGCCTTAAAGTTCAAGCTGTTATCTTTACAGAATTGTTCTCTTCGGCCCATTTAAAAGATATGAATTCACCGCAGTAGTCCAAGTAGATTTATATCTCTGTTTGAGAGTTGTTTTTCGATATTTTTGTACATATTTGACATTCAAATCAGCAGTTGGCTTGAACCTTAACTGCACATTCATTTTATAACTTGGGAGTTGCTTATTATTTTTGTGGAAGAGCTTATGTGAGAGCCTGGGTGACAGGTTTCTAAATCTCTGATCATATTTTTTTTTCTTTTTTGGATACAGGACCTAACACAGAGGATGGTGCTGATTTGGTGAACTGAGGGTTTGAAGTCTTGTTTGTACTATTTTATAGAGGAAATTGCTAATACAGGGATGGAAGATCCGAATTCTTGTTTGTGCCAATTTATATGTTTCTTTTCATTTCCATCAGATAGGAGCTTAGGATCCTAATCCTGGTAACCTTTAAGGATATTTGCCATTGCCTCACTTGCAATCTTATTATTTTGCAGGCTACTTTGTGTAATTTCCTGAATCAATTTTGTTACTTGTAGTCTCTTTTGTGCAAATGCATGTATATGGATAAGTCAATTGTTTTGGATCATTTTTGTTGTATCTAGTTCCTTTGCTCATAGGAAATTGTTTGCTATGAATCTATTGAAGTCTAATGTTAGATTAAGTCATTCATAGTGTATTCATACCAGGTACTTCTTTTCCTAGACCATCTCTTCTATTTTTTTTTTCTTCTTTTAATTTCGTTGGTGCTCATTCCTCCTATATTGGTGATATGAGTTGATAACTTGTTGCAATTTTCAACTTTAATGATCTTTTATGTAATTCTTGTCAAAATTCTAAATAATTTGGGCTTGTTTGACTTGTTTTTCATTATTGTAATATCTGGTCAATATAGATTTGTAGGTGACGTTGTATCTGGCCTATTAATTAGTTTTCTTTTTCTAGCATTGCTATTGACCATTAGATCAATTACATATTTATATGATGAATCTGAAGGAAAATTATCATGTGAAGGAGGTCTGCCATTATATATATATATATATATATACACACACACACTTTGACCGTGCTATTGTTGTATAATTACAATGTTATCCAAACTTGTTCATTCACTTGAATTTTTACACTTCTCTTTTAGACCTTGGGTTAGAGAGATGAGTCAAGTTTGATAAAGGACTCGATTAAAAAATCAACCTTAATTTTTGTATGCTTGATATACAGCACCTATGCAGTATATATAATGCAGGTAAATGGTGAAACCTCCGAGATAATCTTTTGTGCTAGCCAACCTTAGAGATAGTTGGAACTGTCGCAGAGTGGCAACTTTCCAGATAGTTTCTGAACTAAGAGGCTTGTGCAAGCTGTTAGAATTTTTATAATTGTGGCTTCAATCAAGTGTAATTTTTTTTATTTTTTTATAAAAAAGGGCTAACTCATGATCCATATGGGGCAGTATAAAGCTCATTTAATTAAGTGATCCTTTTGTTTGAGATTGGATATTTGTAAACTGATTACTGTGGGTAAATGTTTAGGCCTGACCCATAGACCCATAATGGAAAGGGGACTAGGGTTAATAAGTTTGGCTAGGTCCCCTCTGCATTTATAGTGTGTTAGAAAATTGTTACTCTATAACTTGTCCCATCGACGGTTGTGATTAGGGAGTGATGTGAATTGCAGAGGAAGATCCTGGTATTTCCATTGCAGAAGCCTCAGAGGAAACAAGAAGTCTTTAAGAAATCAAGAAAGAATCATGTCTTCAACAAGTAAGCCTAAATATTTTTGTGTTCTAATGTCATATAATCCTATTTTATGAAATATCTTACATTTGCTATCAGAGTCTAGATTATATGATTTAGGACCCATCATTTATTATTGGACGTGATTGCATATTTTGGGATTTTGCTACCCTCAATCGTTCTTGAATATTTAACTTTTAAATTAATTTTTATCTTGAAGAAATTAAATTCAATAATTTTGGGGGATTTTACAATTTTTAAATCCCTAATTTTTTGTATATTATAAAAATAGAATTTTGATATTTGTTGTCATGGTTGTGAGGTATTTGGAACGGAACATATGATATTGGTTTCAGAGAAGTCCGAAACTTATTTTCATGGTATTGTGGTATTTGGTAATTTAGATAATGCTATTAAAAATAAAAATAAAAATAAAAATTATTTAACAATATCAAAACGCAATTGATTTCTAAATGTGATCTTCCAAATCCTCACTTATTTGTGCACGATTTTCAATGTGTGACCTGCAATACAAAAAAGTGATGATGAGATCCAATGTAACCACGATAAAAATCGAGACCTCAGGTTCAAGAAGAATTTTGGATGAGATGTGTGGAAGAAAAATAAATAAAAAATATTTTGACAAAATATTAATTTTATAATTTTTTTTAGAATATATTTCGATGGAAAATATTATCTCTTTGTTGACGGTGGTATTATATATGGTTGATATGATTTTCAACAATATTCCACACATTGCTTTTGCCACCACAATTGATTCGCAAAAAATAATATGCTTCATAACTTCAACATTTCTTATGTTTTGTTTGGGATGTAACTGTTGGTGTAACATGCTTCATGCTAGATGGAGAAGAAGACTTATTTGAATCCTTATTTGCAAATTATGATGCACGAGGTGTTTGTGAGCCTAATATTGATCGAACCTTTACTAAATATTATTTGTGTGGTGCTATAATTAAATGTGATTTTATGGTACATTTAAAATAAATGTTATAATATTATATTTGTAGGCACCTTATTAATATAATATTATGAAGAATTATTTACAATTACTCCCTTTTAATTATTATGATTCATTTATATTTTCAATTCGTGTGTAAAAAATTAAAATTGAATAAGAAATTATTTATCAGATACCCTTTTATTTGTATTAGGAGCCTTATCAGTTAAGTAGATGTTTACATGAAAGGTCGTTCATTAAAAGTTAGTTACAAATTTGATGAATAATGTGTATGTTATTTATGCGTTTATATTTAGACATATTTTGTTATTATCATTTTTTGATTTGAGATTTTGATAGCAAGATGTATGTTGAACTTTATGTTATATTTTATTATTTTTCTGAATATATTATAACGAGAGGTATGTGACTTGGATGTGTGGTTATGATGTAGTGTTGATTGCTTCGAGATTTTAATGCTTACTCTAATATTTTTGAGTATCGAGGTTAACGCTTCTGCTTGAAATGTTTAAGTTCAAAACTTGTATGAGATTGCTATTGTTTTGAATTCATAATCGGTAGGAGTGTTTTACCTTCTTATTGATTGTATTATGATTTTGGGCAAGAGAAGATTAATTTCGGTGCAAGAGTTTTCATGAATTACTATGAGTAATTGCCACCAAAGTGGGATTACTTATATTGGTTTGAGAAAATTTAAGAAATAATTTTGGTTATTTCATGCAATTTTCTGCCCAAAGGAAGTGATTATGTGTTATAGCTGTGAACTTGTTTGAGATGAAGTTAATGAATGTGCATTGATCTAGGTGATTTGTCTGCCCAAAGGGGACAAATATCTGAAGTCAGTGTATGTTCACTGAGCAACTTTTCTTTAAGGTTATAAATGAAGTTATTGGAAGCTCATTGGTTTATGGATCTGTCTGCCCAAAGGGGTGGATTTTCAAACCTAATGTTATGCTAATTGATTAACTCATCTGAGGTTCTGACCTTGGTTTGTGCATTTTGCCCAAAGGAGAATGTACTATTATGTTGGCCTTGTTATGATAACTTGTTGTACTCAATGATTAACTCATCCTGAGCAACTTCTTCTTGAGATTGTAGATGAAGTTATTGGAGGCTCATTAGTCTAGGAATCTATCTGTAAGAACCCGCACCGTTAAATTAGGAATTTAATTTAATTAATTATGAAATTAATGACATAATTTCATAATTTATCCTAATAATTATGAGAATGCTTAATTAATTATAATAAGTAATAGAAATAGTATTGAATTGTTAAGTTGTTGAGAATTCTGTTAGAGAGGTTCCGTGTATATTGCGTAACAACTTTATGTTAGATTTGGATATTTTAGAAGTTAGTTTTCGAGTCTTTAAAATGTGGTACGTCTCTTGTATTGTAATTCATCTTGAACATACAGTAACAAACTTAGTTCCTCTTCTTCGCTTTTCTCTCTATGGCTTTTCTTCTTTTCTCTATTCTTACATCTCTATGAGTAAGTGATTAATAATGTTGAAAGTCACTTTTCTGACGAAAAGTACAGATACCGATTCTGCCTCACGGTATAAGTGCGTACCGATGAAGTATTTCAAAAAATTATGAAAAGTATGTATATATCACTAGAATAATATCTAGGACTAATATAACAAGTTTGGAGTCAAATAATGAGAATTGTTGTCAGAACTGATACCGGCTATGTAAAAGCGCGTACCGGCAAAGTGCTGCGAAAAATAAAATAAAAATATGACAAATCTTAGAAAAATGGCTAGGTTTAGAATCCAAAATTTGGGATTAAAAAGATAAGCGGAGCTAATAGAGCTAATACATTATGATTAAAACTTAAACGACTATAAATATGGAGTTACACATAACCCTAGGCTGATTTTGATCAGCTCTACATGCCCTTTGTGCCTCCATTTCTGAGCCATTGGTTTCCTCACTTGCCACCACCATTCTTCTTCAAGAACAAGCCCAAGTGATCACCTTTCTTCACTTTCTCTCCATCAAAACTCCATATCCTTGTGTGAGTTGGCCTTGTGAGGGTGTTGAGCGCTTCATAGCTGAGTGTGAGCTTCTGACTTGGTGAGGTAGGGGATGACTTCTTGGTTAAGTGAGGTGTGGATCATTTCCTTGGTAGTTAAAGCTTCAAGAAGCCATTTTTGGTAGCAAAGAGCCAAACTTTGATGGTCCAATTCGTGGACCCTTGAAGTCAGAATATTGGGACTGACTTGTGAGCTCCATGAGCACTTGTAGCTTCTGTTTTGGAGCCTTTGGGTATGTTTCTTACCTTTGATAATGAGTTTTATGGTTAAAAGTTGAGTCTTGACATGTAAAAAGAGATGAGTGGGTAACCAACATGAACATGAACCTAAAAGTGTATAAAAATGCATGCTTGGACGTTAATATGGGTTAAAGATTGAGTCTTGTATGGATATCTTCGCGAAATCCAGAAACAACATTCTGTCGCGAAATATCTGGATATGATATCCGGATATTAATATCCGGATATGATATCCGGATATGGGGTTTTGGATATCCGGATATGACCTAGAGGTGCATATCCGGATATGACCTAGAGGTGCATAAGACTGGTTTTGTCTGTAGCAACTGCATATGACCTAGAGGTGGAGCAGCAGGATATGAAGATAAATTTCCTTCATGGTGACTTGGAGGAGGTTATTTTCATGAAGCAACCAGAGACGTTCATTGCAAGAGGCAAAGAAGAGCTAGTCTGCAAGCTGAATAAATCTCTGTATAGCCTGAAGCAGTCCCCGAGGATGTGGTACATGAAGTTCGACACTTATGCGGTCAAGCTTGGCTTTAACCGCTCTGATGCTGATCACTGTGTTTTGTGAAAAGGTTAGAAGGTGACTTTATTATTCTAACTTTGTATGTTGACGACATGTTACTCGTTGGATACAATTTGAAGA